TCGTAGTGCACGGCTCGAGTTTAGTAATTATCGAGTATAGGGACAATTGGTGTCAGAAAGACATGGTTAAAAAGACTGTAAAGTGTTCAGGATGTGGAGTGGGTTTGAAAGTGGACTCAAGCGTAGAAGCGGATGGAGAAGAGGCTGACGCGAAGTGTAGGCCAATGGGAGGTCGAGGAAAAAATGGAGGAAATGATGGTTGCCCAAAGTGAACTGCTAGTGAGAATCGATGAGCTCGAGACTGCGTTGGCGACAGCGCAAGAGGAAAACGAGGGCAATGGGAGAAAGACTGTAGTCCACCGAGGAAGCACTAGCGAAGCTGAACAAAGAAGTGGCCTACGGAGAGAACACGTAGAGAACCGGCAACCAGAACGATGGAAAAGGAAAGAACAAGCAAGTTTGGAAAAAAAGGTTTAGCCGGCTCAACTGTCGCAAGGCCAGCTTCAGCGAGGTAGTGGTGGGGCTGGGAGGGGACAAAGCAGCCGGCGTCACAGGTGCAAGTAGCCCCCAGGTGCAGGACGCTCCAGCTGAAAAGTCACAGCATGTGATAATCGCCGGGGACTCAAATTTAAATTGATGCACAGAAGCCATCAAAGAGAGCGTAAGAGGTGACAAGAGGGTTGCAGTAGGGGCGTTCCCAGGACGCAAGCTTGAAGCAGTCATGAGGCAAGCGAGCGCAAAACTCAAAACCACAGCTGATAGACGAAACCTCGTGATAATTTCAGGTGGTTTAAACGATGTCTTAAAGGAAGATACAGCAGGACTAGCAGCCACACTGGCGAAAGGTGTCGATGACATGCGCGCCACTTCTCCTAAGGTACAGGTAGTGATATGCACGATACCGGAGGTACCGGTGCGTGATAGCAACCTGCAAAGAGCGGTTCTCAACGCAAACCAAGAGATATGGCGGATGAGTCGAGATGAAAGGTTTTGAGGTGGTGGAAATAAACAGAGAGGTGCATAGGTGGGTGGTTTTCAACGAGACAGAATTCACTTCGGTGGGCGACTAGGTCATGAGGTGGGTTGGCGACTTGCAGGACGCGCAGTAGCTTTTTTGGGGGGCAAGCGAGCCCTACGGGGTGCAGGATAGCTAGTAACGAGGAAAACAACCAGGGAGACTCTTCGACAGGTGTTATGGACAGATACGATTCCAAAGTGGCACCAATGCCTAAGATAGGTAGAGTCCGGGGCATAAATAGACGTCGCCACGAGCGCCGAGCCCATTCATGACATAGGGTATATTAACCTGCAGGGTGGTAGGAACAGGCTGAAGTGGGAAGAGATTGAAGAATAGCTAAGGGAAGAGAGGCGATGGTATACGGTTTTGAAGAAACACATCTCAGGGACATGGAACAACCTCCGAACAATCCGGACTACGCGTGGGAATATTGTAACATAACAGAAGGCAGCAGAAAGGGGGGTGGTATTGGGGCATTCATTCATAAAGTACAGACTGGCAAAGGGCCAAGCAGGAGTGCAAGGAACATTTATGGCTAAAAGGGAAAGTGGAGGTCAAATGACACTCCTGGTTTCGTGTACTTGTGGACGGGAGCAAAGACCAGAGAGGAAAACCAGGCAATGGTAGAGTTTAGGTATATCAAAGGAAATTCAGGAGTTAGGAAGAGAGTGCGAGATAAATATACTAGGAGACATGAATGCGCACATAGAAAATATAGATGGGTATACCAACCCGACAGGCAAATGATCATGGATATGTGTGAAAGGCTTGATTTGATCATTTGCAACAGTACCGAGAAGTGTGAAGGGCAATAACATGGGAGGTAGGAAGGCTGCAGTCGACGATAGATTATGCACTGATGTCACATAGGATGTATGATAAGCTCAGGGGAATGCACATAGATGAAGGTGGCTCCAGAAGTCCGTGTAGTGATCACAAACGTATCAAGCTAAGTTTGGAAGAGCAGTGAAAGTGGGAAGGAGACAGGATGAGCAACTGCAGGAAATTTTATTCAGAAAGTCAAATTGAAATAGCCACTAAACAAATTGAGAAAGTAATCACGGAGGATAATAAGACAGTGTGGACATACACGAATCTAATTAGACTCTTTGAGTAGAGCTTGCTAAGACGCGTGACAAGTCACCCCGGAAAAAAAGACATAAACCCAAGAGTTGGTGGGATCAGTAAGTTACGAGCACCATAGCAAAACGTCAGGAAGTCTCTACGGAACACAGACATGCTAAGCACGGGGTGAACCGATAGATGATGTTGAAAGAAAATGGGAAAATCTTTCTAAGCTGTAGAAGGGAATCATCCCTTCTGATCAATGAAAATATTGGAAGAAAGGGATCTCAGTGGCTGGCAGGAGTATCATAAAAAAAACAGAAAAGGCAGCTGCGAAATTTTAGAACCATCTAAACTCCCTAAGAAACGAGACGAGCCTAGAGCAGAGACTTATTACTACAGCTCAATTTGTTAGGCTAGAAAGGGGACGAAGCTATTGAATATATAAGAACAAGGGTGGACAGAAAATTTCAACAAAGAAGTGTTTTATGCACCACAATAGACAAGGATGAATCTAGTGGTGCAATGGCTCCATTTTCACACCAGAGTGGGAAAGGGTTTGAGAAGAGGGTTCCTAGTAGAACATCAACAGGCCCAGATGGCAATCCAATTATGCTGATAAAGACATTATTTCGAAGTATAGGGTGGCTTTGAGAGAGGCAGTGAGCAAAATAATAATCAATGGTGAAGTCCACGAGTGAATGGAACTTAGCAGGATTGAGCAATGATCTATAAAGGACAAGGGGGAGAAGCTGACATATACACAACTACCATTCTATAACAGTGACATCATGGTCTACAGGCTGGCGATGCAGATTATAAAGGAAAGACTGCAGGCCTGGATAGAAGATGAGGGGGTGCTGGGGGAACTGTACAGAATGGGTTTCGGAAACACAGGAGGTGGAAGACAATCTGTTCTCCACTGACGCAGTGCATCGAATAGCAGAAAAGGAACACAGGCCCTGTGTGCTAGCATTCTTGGATATCAAGGGAGGCGTACGATTAGCGTGGTTCCAAGGGAATTGTGGGGGAACACTGGCCACACTAGGCGTGGAACCTGTAGCTACCTAATCTTTTTCAAGGGTTATCTATAAAGGTAACAAGGTAGTAGATACAGTGGGAAAAAAACAGGTATCCAAGCCTGCAGAGGTAAACGGGGGCTTAGGCAGGGGTGCCCCCTGTCACCCTTATTATTCATGATGTACCTACAAGGATTAGAGGCAAAATTAGAGGGAAGCGGGCTGGGCTTCAACCTCTCTTTAGTCAAACAAGGAAAACTTATTGATCAGGCACTACCAGCTATAATGTACGCAGATGATATAGTGCTAATGGCCAACAACAAGAAAGATTCGCAAAGATTGATGGACATCTGCGGTAATGAGAGAGATAGGTTAGATTTTAGATTCAGTGAGGAAAAATCAGCATTCATGATTTTCATGACAATGAAGGTAGTGAGCTTAGAATACAGGACGTCACGCTAGAGATAACAGATGAATACGAATATCTGGGCGTATGGATAAGCAATGGGACCGAGTACCTGAGGGATCACGAAATATACGTGACGACTAAAGGTAACAGGAATGCAGCAGTGATGAAAAATAGGGCACTGTGGAATTACAATAGGCATGATTTTGTGAGAGGAATATGGAAAGGGGTCATGGTTCCTGCGCTGACGTTCGGCAATGCGGTCTTGTGCATGAGATCAGAAGCTCAAGCAAATTAGAAATTAAGCAACGTGGAATAGGTAGGCTTGCTTTAGGAGCTCACGGGAATACACCAAATCAGGGAGTACAAGGTGATATAGGATGGACATCATTTGAGGGCAGGAAGCTAGCAGCAAGATAAATTTTGAGAAGCGATTCAGAGAAATGAAGGAGGAGCGTCGGGCTAGGAAGGTTTTCAGCTACTTGTATATGAAAAATGTCGATACCAAATGGAGGAATGAACCAGGAAGTTACTGGTAAATACTTAGAAAACAGCAGTGGCCAAACCAAAAAGAACTATCGGTTAAAAAGAAAGTGAAGGACACGGAGACTGACATGTGGAAAATGGGCATGATTAAGAATTCCGCACTTCCGACACACGCGTCCACTCGCAAGCAACATATCCGGATTCTTCCCTGCGATCACTTTCGCTCCAACGAGTGCCGCCACACGTCCAGCGAATTCTTCAGGTTCAGGACAGGCTACCTCTCAACGAACTTGCAGAGATTGCTGTTCGCGTCATCGATGCCTCTTTGCCGCTTTCGTCCCCCACCACCCAGGCTGTCAACGCACCGATGAACACCACAGAGCTTGCGCGTCATATCGACGAGATTGATTGATGGCTGACCTCCAGTCAGCAACACCTGGGCGAACGTCTTTCAATGCAAAAGCAATAGCCATAACAACACCTCATCGCTGCAACCTGACCTCAATGGTCCGCGCTACTATCACTGGCGGTTCGGTGACAAACGCAATTTGGGTGATTAGGGCAATGTAGATTGCCCTAATCTATGGGACATATAGGAAACAAGAATTACTGTTCGTACAGACAGCCGCAAGCTGCCAACCTAAGCCCGTCGCATAATCGTCCCCGTCCAAATCACGAAGCGGCATTACCTGGCCGACAATGCTTCTGAAATTTGCTGCTATCCGTGATCCAACCTTCCGGGTCATCGCCTACCGGCATCTTTCGAGTTCAGCGCAGCAAACCGGCCCGCAATCAAGACATATGGCTTGTTGCACCTGCACATCCACCTTAAGAACCTACTCCGCGACCTTCACTGGAACTTTGTCATCGCCGACGTCGCCGACGTCGCCGAGCCAATCATCGGCTACAAGCTCATTGGATACAACCTCATTCCGGACTGCTGAAAGGACTGGCTCATCGACGCGACAATGAGACGTTCCACACCAGGCCAGAGAACAGCCGCTGGCCTGGCGTGGAACATTAAGTGGGAAAAGCAACGTAGTCACCGTTTCGCTCTCACGTCTAGCCATCATCAGCTCGGTGCAGATAACAGTTGACGTCCTTGCCGAGGCTCAGGCCACGCACGCTGCACAGCAGCAACTTCTCAAGGGCACGCCCTCACTACACCTAGAAAAAGTCCTCATTCCAGGGTCGGCAAAAATGATCTGCTTCAACATTTCGACAGGACAAAGCAGGCACTATGTGCCCCTGTCTCATCGCCGTGGTCTTTTCAATCAGCTCCACAACCGCAGCCAATACGGTACACGTAGCTCTACATGCCTCGCAGCTTACCGCCACGTCGGGCCCTCCAGGCAGCGTTATTGTCGCAAGTAGGCGCACTCATGCATTTACTGCCAACGCTAAAGTGAACAAGGACGTTACGTCCCTACTTAAAAAGCTCCCTCAGACCTCAGGTTGGTGCGAGCACGTCCACCTCGACATAATTGGGCTGTTTCCTCTGGCTGCACCCTTCCGCTACTTTCTTACTGCCATCGACAGGTACACTGGATGACCCGACCCATGGTTCCTCGACAGAATCACTGCACAAGACATCACTTCAGCCGACCAAGGACGGCAGCTTGAGTCGAACTTCTTCAGGTTCCTCGCACTGACTATCAGTTTTGAACTCTTGAGGACCACAAGTTAACACCCCTGCGCCAATAGAATGATCGAGCGTGTCCAGCGACAGTTCAAGGCAGCCATCATGTGCCACCGAGACACGACCTGGCTTGAGGCCATCTCAGCTGCCATGCTCAGTCTTCGGGCCACCTTCAAGCTAGACACACCAGCAGAATTCATATACGGGGAACCACTTCATGTTCCAGGTGAACTGGTCACCGCACTACTTACCAGCACTATGCCGTCACACCCTGCAGACTTCGTCACCCGGCTCTGGTGCTTCATCGTCACCTGCAGCTCACCACTGCAAGCTTACGCCTTTCGTGTTCAAGAAGCTAGCATCGTTGCGCACGCTTATCTCTGCGATGACACCAATCACCGGCCTTTCCCGGCCCTCTACAGTGGACGCTGCCTTGTTTATTTTGCGCGTGAATAGCAATGACGTCCGCTTCACGCTTGACCGACCGAAGCCCGCATAGACCACTGCGAATGAAACGGGCAGCGCCACTCTTCCACTAGCGTCTTTCTACAGCCACCGACGTCGTAGCCTCCTGTTTTCATGGCACGCTCTGCATGTTTGGTACGCCTCCCAAATTTCTCTGAACTCTCAGGGCTCTACAGTATGCGGGGGCTGATATGGCGATCATTGCGTACATACCTGCGCAGCTTCCGTCTCGTCACTGGATAGCCCTGCGTGGAACGCTTGCTTGGTGCAATACGCTTTGACACCAAAGTTTCACCGGAGGCTCGCGACAACACTGTTTTTATAAAACCTATGCTGTCAAGCCTGGTTTATTGATTGTTTCACTATCCGTTTGATCGCAGCATCGGCATGCTCGCCTCATTGTCGCTAGTACTACACTAAGAAGTTATGTTGCCATTTCGTGATTCCTTCTACGCCGACCCGGCACCCCACGCTTTCATTCTACGGAATATTGAACGTACGTGCTGTTTGTGCGCTTGCCAGATCCTGCTTGCTGGCCTACGGAAGACGAGGAGCGCCCAGTGCGGAAGGCCGCTGCTGCTCGTGCTGATCGGCAGGATGGCGATGTCTTGACAGATGGATGCATGAATGAATGCGAGGACAGACGCACGAATCGATGCACGGATGAACGAACGCATCACAATGCGTTTACGTCTCTGCAATGGGTAGAGCGGGGCCAAGCAGTTCAAATCACAGCTGCGCATAAATGTCACGTTGTCCTTCCCCACCTCCTGCACAGGTGCGCGCTGACAGCTGACGCCACCCTCTTTATGACTTGCAGCACACTCGCTAGAGTGCCCACAGCTGCCAGCCCCTGACACCCGCTTGCAACATACTTCTCACTCGCTTCATTCTCTCCATCGTATGCTACGTTCACCGCACTTCGAATGGAAACACTCTTTTCACTCGTTAATCTGTGAGGAAACTTACACAAAACCGACCCACTCTCGTGTCTGCGTTTCAAGCAATTGTTTACTCGGGTAAACGCTACCCAGAGTTTTGATTCATACCCTTGAAAGCACTCGCATCGGCATCTGTTTCGCCCGAGTTGACACCGTGTTCACAGCTGGTGCTTCACATTCGGTCTTGTTTGCTTTCGTAGAGATGATCATATTTTCGTTTGGAGTTTAGCAGAGCATCTACAAGGGCCACCAGTGGTGCACAAGGGGGTATAAACTGTCGCTAGAAATTGACAAATCAGATATCTTGGCGAATCTTGGTCATCGAAGAAGACGACGAAGTTGAGAGTGCAGCTAGCCCTACCTCCGATTTTCTATTTTTCATTGTTTTGTGTTATCTTCCGTCGTTCTCGCGAAGACGTCTGCGGCATCAAAAAGATTTTACCGTTCCCGGGCCCATTCCAAGAAGAAGCGACCGGAAGAAGGGTCCATCTCCGGGACTTCGGCCATGACCCAGCCATGCAAGCGACCAGGACAGACACCTGATCCATCCCACATGCCATCGAAACGACAAGACCAACTAGCGGGCGAACGTAACTATGGCGACACCAATGAACCTACAGCCGATGATGGCGCATCTACAATAGTGGGAATCGACGAGAGAGTAGACAATTGGTCGGACATAGAGGACGACAACTTCAAAATGGTAAGCCACCGCAAAAGCAGAACTGTGGGTATTCCGGTGATTATATCACCTGTAGAGAGCGAAAAATACTTAAGACAGATGAACCCTATTGCTTTACATACTGCGGTGACATCAGTCATTGACGCTGAGCCAGTTCGGAGTTATTTCACTGCTCAAGGTTCGCTACTACTTGACGTGGCCACTGAAGATCAAGTAAACACGCTTTTCAGGTGTGGCAAGCTGTGTGGTGTAGAAGTTAGTGTTCGTAGTCCTAATGCCTACCTGCGAAACACCTGCTTGATCAGAGGTGTTTCAAAGTGGAACACAGAAGCGGGTCTTCTTGGATATACTGTTACGGGAGAATAACTTTACTTTATAAAACGAGGAATACACTCGGTGGTGGACAAGATGGCGCCCAGTTGGCTCACAGATCTGACAACATCGTCCTCCTCTTTGTCTTCTTCGTCGTTCTCATCCTACCGTTACATGATTTCCCCGGCGGCTGGAGCACCGACCCGGTGCTAATCAGGAGGCACTGGAGTAATACGGTTTGAGTCGCGTAACATGCACTACGTCAGTGTGAGGGTGAAGGATGGCGGGGTCCGTAGGGGTGATTTCGTATGTGACGTCAGTTACTTGGCGTAAGATACGGTAGGGACCTGAATAGCGTGGGAGTAACTTCTCCGAAAGTCCAACGCGGCGCGAGGGGAACCATAACAGAACGAGATCTCCGGGTGTGAAGTGGACGTCACGATGGCGGGCGTCGTATACGCTCTTCTGATTGTCCTGGGAGTCCAGTAAGCGTCGTCGAGCAACTTGGCGTGCCGCTTGGGCCTTCATTATTGCATCACGAGCGTACTGAGACTTGTCATTTAGTCCGGCCGGCAGGAGGGTGTCGAAAGGTAGCGCAGGGTCACGGCCGAACAACAGAAAAAAAGGAGAGAACCCAGCGGTGTCGTGTCTGGAAGAATTGTACGCGAATGTTACAAACGGTAACGTAGTGTCCCAGTCGCGGTGATCGGCGGAGACATACATGGAGAGCATGTCGGTGAGAGTGCGATTGAGGCGCTCCGTTAGACCATTTGTTTGTGGATGGTAAGCAGTCGAGAGCTTGTGTTTAGTGGCGCAGGAGCGGAGGAGGTCATCAACCACTTTGGAAAGGAAGTAGCTGCCTCGGTCGGTAAGGAGTTGTCGAGGGGCGCCATGATGTAAGATGACGTCCTCCAAAAGGAAATCGGCCACGTCAGTTGCACAGCTGGTTGGAAGGGCCCGTGTGATCGCGTATCGGGTAGCATAATCGGTTGCTACTGCAATCCACCGATTACCCGCAGCTGACGTAGGAAAAGGGCCAAGCAGGTCCACGCCAACACGGTAGAATGGGTCTTGTGGGATGTGCAGTGGCTGAAGACGTCCGGCCGGAGGGGCATTTGGTTTTTTCCGTCGTTGACAAGGGTCGCAGGCTGCAATATAACGGCAGACGTCGCGGTACATGCCAGGCCAGAAGAAGCGCCGGCGAACTCTGTCGTAGGTCCGTGACACGCCGAGGTGACCCGCTGTAGGTGCATCATGAAGTTGGGCGAGAACAGTGTGACGCAATTGAATGGGAACGACGAGTAGTCTTTCGGGGCCGTCAGGACGCATATTGCAACGGTACAATACACCATCATGTATTTCAAACATTCGAAGGGAAGGGTCGGGCCTCACCGATGTGAGCCTTCGGATAATACCGTCCAAGAAAGTATCTCGTCGCTGCTCGATTCCAATGTCATGAAACGCGGATAGAGAGAAAACGTCGATAGGAAGGGTGGTTTTAGAGGAGTCGCCGTCTGGAGGGTCGACAGGATACCGGGACAAGCAGTCCGCATCTTGATGCAGGCGGCCGGTTTTATACAGGACTGAGTAATCAAATTCTTGAAGGCGCAGCGCCCAACGGCCAAGACGGCCTAAAGGGTCTTTAAGGGACGAAAGCCAGCACAAGGCGTGGTGATCTGTGATTACTGTGAATGGCCGGCCGTACAAATAGGGACGAAATTTACCGACTGCCCAAACAAGTGCCAAACATTCCCGTTCGGTTATTGAATATTTTCTTTCAGCAGGCGAAAGAAGGCGGCTGGCATAAGCAACAACACGGTCTCGTCCTTGTTGTTTCTGGGCGAGGACTGCACCGATGCCATAGCCACTTGCGTCTGTACGAACTTCTGTTGGAGATGAAATATCAAAGTGGGCGAGGATAGGCGGAGACGTAAGCAGACACACTAGATTTTGAAACGCATCTGCTTGCTCAGGGCCCCAGATGAAGCCAGCGTCTTTTTTGAGAAGTTGAGTGAGAGGGCGTGCTACGTCGGCGAAGTTTTTAACAAAGCGGCGGAAGTAAGAACAGAGGCCAACGAAACTGCGAACGTCTTTGGTACAGGTTGGTACAGGGAAATCTCTTACTGCGCGTATTTTATCTTGATCAGGGCGAACCCCCACGGAATCAACGAGGTGTCCGAGGACAGAAATTTCACGACGGCCGAAGTGGCACTTTGCCGAATTGAGTTGCAGGCCCGCCTTACGAAAGACAGATAAGATTTTCGATAGCCTTTCAAGGTGCGTCGCAAAAGAAGGCGAAAAAAAAACGATAACGTCGTCCAGGTAGCACAGGCAGATGGACCACTTGAAGCCGTGCAACAGAGCGTCCATCATACGTTCGAATGTGGCGGGCGCATTACATAAACCGAATGGCATCACTTTAAACTCGTAAAGGCCGTCGGGAGTGATAAACGCCGTCTTCTCACGGTCCATGTCATCAACGGCAATCTGCCAGTACCCAGAGCGGAGGTCAATGGAGGAAAAATATTTTGCGCCGTGAAGGCAATCCAGGGCATCGTCTATGCGTGGTAAAGGGTAGACGTCCTTCTTCGTTATTTTGTTTAAATGGCGATAATCGACGCAAAATCTCCAGCTGTTGTCCTTCTTCTTTACAAGTACAACAGGGGACGCCCAGGGACTGCATGAAGGCTCGATGATATTCCGAGAAAGCATTTTGTCGACCTCCTGTTGGATGATGCGCCGCTCTGCATGGGAAACACGGTAGGGTCTCCGATGGATTGGACTCGTATCGCCTGTATCAATCCGGTGCTTAACAACGGACGTCTG